CCTGCTTTCAGAGCTGGGTAGCCAGAGTGGCGGTTGCTGGCCGAAAGCGCAGCTTTGAAGGCAGAGCTGCTGTCAGCAGCAGCACAGAAATAAGGATGGTAGGTCATAGAATGGTGTTACTACCTTTACCTCTATGCTACAGAGCTGGCCCTCAGTCAGCAGCAGCTGCCATTCTCTGGCCACCCAGCTCTGAAAGCAGCAGTACAGAAGTAAAGGTGACACGGGTATGCTGTTCCCACCTCAACTTCTGTGCTGATTCTAGCAGGGCGCTGTCTTCAGAGCTGGGCACCCTGCCAAAATTACAGCCACTGCTCTCTGAAGGCAGCGCACAAGTACAGGTAGCAATACCGTGACTCTCCTAAAATAACCTTGTGATCCCCATGTAAATCCCTTTTGGATCAGAATCTCCTGTGGGAGAAACACTGGTCTCCCCCATGAAATCTGTATAGTATAGGGTAAAAGCACGTAGAAGGCCAGATTTCACAGGAGAACACCAGATTCACGGTCTGTGACACATTTTGCATGGCTGTGAATTTGGTAGGGATTCATATGACATGACAAAAGCAGCATGGATCAGGTTTCATATTGCACTCCCCCATCAGAACCCGGCCTGAGCTAGAAAAATTATTGATCCAACCAGCATACCAAATGTGTGGCCACCAAAGGTAGCATATAACAAGAATTCAGCACCAAATTTGATCCCCTGACTGGACCATGTACCATTTTGTTTAAAAAATGTAGAATTAACATGTTACACTTCAAATGGATTAACAGCTAGCTAACTGATAGGTTTCAAAATGTAATTGTAAACAGGAAAACATTATCAAGTAGGTGGGTTTTCAGTAGGTCCCACAGGGATCTGTTTTTCACCTTTGCTTTATAACTTTTTTATTAATGGCCTGGAAGAAAACAAAATCATCCATGATAAAGTATGCGGATGACACCGATAAAAGGAATGTTAAATAAGGAAGCGAACAAGTCAGTAACACAGAGCAATCTGGATCACTTGGTAAACTGGGTGCAAGCACACGCATTTTAATAAGGCTAAATGTAAATGCAGAAGTCTAGGAATAAAGTAGGCAAGACTTACATGATGGGAACTGTGTCCTGGGAAGCGTGATGCTGAAAAAGATATAGGGGTCATGGTGGCTAGTCAGCTGAGTTCCCAGCATTACACTGTGGCCAAAAGGACTAATACAATCTTTGGATGCTTAAAGGAATAGAGAGAAAATTTTACTTCTTTATTTGGCACTGGTATAGCTGCTGCTGGAACACTGTGCCCAGTGTTCAGTGTGGTGCCCACAATTCAAAAAGGACGATCAAAACTTGGTGCTCAAAGAAGAGCCATGAGAATGATTAAAGGACTAGGAAGCCTGCCTTCTAGTGGCAGGCACATGGAGCTCAATCTATTTACGTTAACAAAAGAAGGTTAAAGGGTATCTTGACTAGGGATGTTAGCATATAATTGAACAGTCGTGTAATCGCATAAAATATTATCAGTTAGACTATTATCAGAAGACTATTCGTTAATCCTCTGGAGCAGAGGCAGCAGTGCAGAGTGGCAGGTGGAAGCTTGTCCACAAGGGGAGTCAGTTTAAAAACCAGCTCTCCTCGTGGACAGGTTGCATGCCGCCCTGTACTGCTGCCTCTAATACAGAGGCAGCCATCCCTGTCCGTGGGGTGTCCGAGCTCCCCGCGGACACAGGTTGCTTCACGACAGTATCCCCAACCCTCCCACCGGCCCTGCGTTGCTGCCTCTGATAGAGCAGTGGGGGAGGGCAAGTGGCATGGTGGAGCTGTTGCTGTAGGGAACCAGCTTTTAAGCCAGCTCCCCCCAGCACGCACTTCTGCCTGCCTACCCCTCTCCCCCGCTGCTGCCTTTCTCTCTGCCTCTGATAAAGAAGCAGCAGTGTGAGGGGAAGGCAGCTCTACAAGTGGCGATATGCACGGGGAGCTGGCTTGAAAGCCTGTTCCCCACGCATATTTGCATCTGCCTGCCCCCCTCACCCTCTCCATCATAGGCGGGGGCAGGGAGCAGGTGAATCCGGTGCTCATGGGGAGCCTGCTTGAAGCCAGCTCTTCAAGGGCACCGGCTCTCCTCCCCACCCCCATCCTCCATGCTACTTCTGACACAGTGCCTGTAGTCAATAGATTAACCAGTAAGCCTAGGTCTGGATGGTGGTTGGGTGCAGAAGAGAATTTGAGGTAAGAGACTGGGGTAAGATATGCATGAAAGGGGCTGGGGTCTGAGAGGAAGCTTGGGTGAAGGAGGGGGTTGTGACCTGAGGCAGGGGCTTGGGGCGCAGGGTCCAGGAGGGGGTATGGGTGCAGGAGAGGAGTCTGACCTGGAGGAGGAGTGTAGGAGGAGGTGCAAGGTCTGGGAGAAAGTTGAGGTGTGGAAGGGGTTGAGGTGCCTGAGGCAGGCTCTGGCTGGGAGGTGCTTACTTAAGCAGCTCCCAGTCAGCAGCCCAGTGAGTTCCTTAGGCAGGTTTCACTCAAAGTAGCTGGCTGTTCCATGTGGCTCTCTGCTCGGGGTGGGAGGGAGGGCGGGCAGGGAATAGTCCTTACCCCCAGCACAACCTTTTAGCTCCTGTTGGCTGGAACAGAGAGATTGTGCTGTTCCATGAAGCTTTGCCCCCTCCCACGCACGGTGAGCCACAGAGAGGAGTCAGCCACTTCGAATGGTGCGGAGCTGCTAAGTGAGTCACTGCTAAGTGAGTCAGGCTGGATTAAAAGGCTTTTCAGGACAGATCTTGCCCATCCTTGGACTAAATAATCATAGTGATCCCATCAGGCCTTGGAATCTATGAATCCTGGGCTACATAGAACAGTCTTCACTTATGTCGCTGGCATTTTTCATGGCTGCATCATATTTAAAGATTAAGGCTATTGAAACTTATCTATAGATATTTCCTTGTATAAACAATACACCTTTCTTTCTGACAACAATAGATTTAAAATAAATGATCTGTTAGGCTGTTTCAGTAATCAAGTTCGCAGACTTTGTTTTGAAGCAAACTAGCTGTGACACTGCTGCTTTCTTTTAGGTATGAATCCAGTCTCTCAGAAGTGCAACAGATGGATCTTGATTTATCAAAACCCTTGTTCACAACAGCTGCATTGTTCACAGCCTGCAGGTATGCTCTTCATGCGGTTACATGCTGGGTGACATTATATGCTTGGATTTCCCCCCACTCAGGCTTGCTAGAGATGTTAAAGAAAGTTTTCACAAGTGTGAAATTGCTGTTACAATATAAACAGCTGCTCCATTCTCCAGTATTCTTTAATATCCCAAAGCACCTCTAGGTGGTCAAATGTATCTTGTAGCAGTACTCTCAAAACCCCAGAAAATCTTGACAGCCTGCTAAGGCTAATGTCTTCCTTGTAATGAAGTATTGAACTTAGATTGTGTTTTTCCTTGGAGAAAGAAAATGTTAAACACCTAAACTGGTAGCCCAAGGACATATCACAACACCCTACCTCCCATCCAGACCCCCACCATCACCCTTCCTGCACCTCCATCCATATCCCTCTCCCTGGCATCCCCATCCTGCACACAGAACCTCTTATGTTTGGCCTCACCGCAGAGCCTAGGAGGGGCGGGGCTAAAAAAATCTAACCCCAGAACCCCAAAAGAGTTAATCTGCCTGTGGGAAGCCCTGAACCTTGGTCCTCCCTAAACCCTATTCCACCCCTACCTCTTCCCTTGGGGCTGGAGTACAAGGGGAGTGATGTGTCTCAGCAGGGGGTCACATCAGTGAGGGTTGGGGCTTTTGTTTTTTTGGGGGTGGTTGCTTCTCACTTTTGTGTCCCCCCCTCCCCCCCAACTGATTTTTCCTGAATAAGTGGCCCCCCACCAAAAAAAAGGTTCCCCACTCCTGCCATAAATAAAGACAATGTTGAAACCTTTTGTTTTGGACATAAATTAGTATTTTACTTTAACAAATTTCATTTTACATATAGTTAAAGCATTTAATCTGTTTAATTATTTTGATTTTTTTATTAATAATATTTACTTTCTTAACGGTTATATATGCCCCTTATGCTATAGCTTCAGTAGCCTAATATGAACAATTAGTATTTAAGGTATTTAGAAATAAGTGAAGGCATTTTGTCATTATGGGTGATTGGCTGATGGTCCACGTAAAGATTTGCATTGAGCAGGGTAAGCAATTGGCTAAAAAGCTTGAGAGCCACTGCTGCACATGAATCTTCTTCCAATCTGTGTGTTGTACAATTTAGAAATCTTATGAACCAGTGTGGTGTTGGGGGGTAATGTGCAATTTGTCAGATTAGCTTTCAAAATGAACATCTGTCTGTGGAGTGAGTCACATTTGGCTTATTGCAGGAGTAAGATTGTTTATCCAGTGTTCTGGGCAAATTACAACTTTCATCCCATTTAAATTTCCCCTCGTAATTTCAGGAGGGTGTGACATTTTTCACTTTTTGTTTCAAATTGTTAAATACATTTAAGATTAATTGATCATCACGGCTTCTCTGTAAGGCAGATGGGCATGGCTTATTTCAGGGGAAACTGAGGCAGGGAGGAAGTATCTTGAGCAAGATTACACTGTTGCCGAGTTGTTCTATAATTCTGGAATTCCAGGCTCCTGCTTTCTGCTTATTCCCCCCAAGCAGCGCTACATATAAATGTGTTGATCAACCAGCATTCTGTATGTTTGAATGTTCCTTCCTTCAGAAAATAAACTAACCTCCTGTTTTAGGTGCTTGAAACTAAAAGTGGATAAGAAGAAAATGGTGGATACCTCTGGAGTGAAGAAGGCAATATTCGATCGGCTCTGTGGCCAGCTGGAGGTGATTGGCCAGCAGATCAGCAGTAAGTGTTCAGCATGTGCTCTGGAAGGCAGGTGAAATAGCCACATTGTTGGGTCTCACTGGGCAACATCCTTCTCTCTTTGCTCCCTTTCTGACAGTGGTCATTTAAATGGTCTCCTCTGCTCATTTAATTTCAGCTATTCTCTTTGTGCTGGCTGCTCTGCCCACTCTTGTCTTCTTCAGTCCAGTCTCTGATTGCTGCCTGTCTCAGTCCTCAGGGATGTCATGTCAGTCTGTCATCTTTTTTCCCTGACACAAGAGCCATCGCTGACTCCTCCCTTGTGCTTGCCCCACACATGGGAGCAATCCAAACTGATGGCTCTTCCTCTGTAATGTCTCAAGCACTGGCCTTTTCTTTACTGCCTCACAGCTAAACCCTCTTCTCCTGCCTTGAATAGTGCAGCTGCTACCTCTGACTCACTTCCATTCAATTTTATGCAGTATGCAACCGCCAAGGTCACCTTTCTTGTGTGTCACAGAGCCCTTGTTAGAAGCCCTCTGTCTCATCCTTCTCCAGTCATCAAGGTGGTGTCCTCACCTTTCTTGCATAATGCTGCCCCATCCCAGCTTGTGCGCTTTTTCCTCATACTCCACCATTGACGCCTTCAAAGCCCACACTCTGCCATTGCGTCTCCTACCATAGTGCTCATCATGCAGAGAATGCCCAACCTGAACACATCCATAAAGCCTCTGCCCTCTCCTCCTTGAAACCCCTTCAAACCACATCTGTTGCTGCTTCTACAAGAAATTAGCCCAGTGCTGAAACAGCTAGGAACGGCTCAGATTATTCTTTTAAAGCCGCCCTCTGTTGCTGCCTTCAGCTGGGAAGCTTGCCAGGGAAGATATTGTTCTTGTTTGTGTGGCTTGCACCCAGCCCATTGCAGATGCTGCTGTAATACAAATACTTTGATTGAAGTGATGGAGAAATGGGAAACAAGGGAGAGTCCTGCCAGAGTTATCAGTAAGGGTAGAGGGAAGTGGAGGTGGAGACGACATAAAGGTATTCATGTCACCTATCAGGTGCTCTACTACCCCAACATCCATCCAAAATTAAATACATAAAGCAGCTTTCTCTTCTTTAAAAGGAGACTGTGCTTCATTGGCTCCTCAGCCAGCCCAAAGTCAGACGACCTTGTTGGGGTACATGCAAAAGGAAGAAGGTAAGTTGTATCTTAACTATGAAATTAAGTTGTTTTCTTCTGCAGTTGCCTAATAACGGTTTAGCTAGATAACTTTGTTATATATAGTCCAGTATGGCTTGAGGCTCTTTTCTCAATAACCCACTCCTTCCACATATGGCCAGATGTTGGAAATTCTAAGAGGGCCTATTGCAGTGGTCCCCAAATTGTGGCATGAAGGAGTATTAAGTATGGCATGTGTTTGTGCCCAGGCCAGCCCTCTAGGGTGGGGCACGGGGAAGGAGGGCCACCCAGTCCACTCTACCCAATCCAGCCACAGCCCCATTTTGCCCACTTCTCTGACCCTGGCCACAACTCCACTCCACCCTGTCCCCAGGCCAGCTCCACCCCCGCCGCAGCTCCATTCCATCTCCTGCCCCACTCCCAGACCAGCTCTGCTCCAGCCTGCCCCTCCCTCTGCTCTGCCCTCCACTCCATATACAGCTCCACTCTGCCCTGTGCTCTGCCCCGCAGCCTAACTCTGCCCCCCTTCCCTCTCTGCCCCAAGCCAAGCACTGCCTCTGTCCCACATTTCTTCCCCATCTCCAGCTCTGCCATAAGCCCAAGCTTCTCTGCTTAGGAAGTTTTAACTGTGCAGCAATGGAGGTGTGGGCATGGATGGAGAAATTCTGTTTCTGGTAAGGAAGGGGGCATGACTGGAGAAGCTTTGGGCATCACTGCCCTTTTGGAAGCACCAGTGCAGTTTTGTGGAGCAAGTCTATTGGAACTAGGGTGGCCTTTGCCACTCAAACAAGGATAAATAAATACAGGTAGGTGTTAAACAAAACTATAGCTTGATTTTAAAAAAATTGATAGCCTGTGCATGAAATACACTCGCATGTGTACATTCCAGGGGTCTGAGACTTGACATTAGGTGGTCTCCTTAAGCAAAATACTGAACATGAGGGAGTGTGTCCTGAAAGCTTTTTTTTCCTGCCCCTATAGACCATGAACATGAAATTGCAACCCCTTGCAAGCGAAAGAAAAGTGAAACTGAAGCAAAACAAGATTATGAAGAATGGAAAAAGAGAATCCTGGAAAATGCTGCTAACGCAAAAGTGGCTAGTGTCTGACTTCAGTCCCTGGAGTGCCACCGAGCAATGTCCGTGCCTCTAGTTTGTAATGTTAAATTCTTCTTCACACTGGTTCAACTCAGCATGAGAATTGATGGATGGTAACCAGCACTCTTCTTTGACTGGCAAGGATTTAAGTTGTTAAGCCTGTCATTTTACTATGAGGGACCTGCATTATGGTGACACACTTGAAGAACATAGTTGGCTGAAGTTTAAAAGTTGGTCCAGTGATACCTTCCTCTCGACCAGTGCAGACCTCAACTCTAAAACATGGAGTAGATGCGCTACTTTTAAGCAACAAACAGGCCAAGTAATGGTGCAGTATTAAATGATCTCTGAGAAGGCTGCACAGCCTTGAATTCTGAACTGAAGGTTAAGTCATGGTTACTAAAGTCTAGGGGCTGGGTCTACCCAGGAGGAAACAACTTGTCATCGGCAAAACAAAACTGAGAAGTCAGACTGTTAAACTTTTTTATAGCCGTATATCTGATTAAATAAAGTTTTTACTGTTATATGGAACATAAATTTTTTTTAACAAACAAAGATTCTTTTTCTACATCTTGATCTTTGGTTTAAGAATTTTTACATGGTTCTAGGATTGCTTCTTTGACCTGATTATCACTTTCATTGTATAAATACCACCAGAATCAAAATCAGAATAGGTTTAAAGAAACTTCCTGTACTTAGTTGAAAAATTTCCTTTCATCAAGTAATAAGGTCTACAGATCACGACAAGAGATACTTCAGTCTGCTTGCAGCTTGGGAACAGACTCAACAGCAGAAGAATGCCTGGTCTCCTGACGCTGTCTCCATTGGAGACCACTTCCACAGCCAGCATATTTCATTTTTTTTCCTCCTACAATAGATTATGCTTTGATGAGAGAGCACAAGTTTATCCTCTGGCAAAGCATGGGGTTCACTTCTAACAGAATAAACCTAAATCTTTAGTACCTTAGAGACTAGCAAAAATATATGTATAGTATGAGCTTTCATGGGCAAAACCCACTTCTTCAGATGAGATGATCTTGAGTGGAGAAAAAAAAATTCCCTCAGAATAAGAAGGGAGAGAGGAAAAAAATTACGTGTCAATTGTAGACCTGATGCTAATGAGGCTAATTGAGTGGGCTTGAAGTGTCCCATTCTTAGCTTTTGATGTCAATAGGGTGTTGAATATATATATGTTAACCAATTCAAGTCTTTGTTCAAACCAAATAAGACAGTGTCAATTTTGCAGAGGTCAATACTGTCCAGTTTGGCCAATATATATGGTGAGCATTGATGGCATATAGCACATTAGAGGATGTGCAGTTGTATGAGCCCCTAATGTGGTGGCTTATGTGATTAGGTCCTGTGATGGTGTCGCTAGTGTGGACAGTTGGCCCACAAGGCAAGCCCAACAAGGAAAATAAAAGAACACCACGGATCATCACCTACAGCTCCCACCTCAAACCCCTTCAGCCTATCCTGGAAAATGATCCCTCACTCTCACAGGCCTTGGGAGACAAATGCCAGAACAGGACATACACTGAGCAGTCTCAACTCCTTAAGAATTGCATTAAAATGAGATTCCAGAACTTTTCTAAATCAGATTTCATAATATGGAAGGAGAGTTCAAATTCTGGTGTAAAGGGCTCACCAATGCTGCCTTCTATATTAGACCAATTACTGTATTTCAGACTCGAGAGGCTAATTACATTCATTTGAGCTTTATTAATATTAATTTCATAACTGCATACTAACAAAGTAATTATTTACCATGCAATGTCACTGGGAAGAGAACATGTGAACAAATATAGGCCTTCATAGAAGGTGAATCTATTGTCAGGATTCTTTCATGTAACTTTTGTTGCACTCTGACATAATGCCAAAAGTGCTGCACAAGTCCAGTCTATCTGGAAAAGAAGGGAGAAGTTCTAGAACTCTAAAGCTAGACAAACTTAATATTAAGATCTTTGGAGGCTGGTAGCATCAACCCTGTTAGGCAATTTTTAAGCTAAGACTAAATGGGAATATAATTGTGATTTGATTAGGCTCTTACTGTGTGGGTTTAAGCAGCTACAGTTAGTGATAAATTATTTTAATAAGCTCACAGAGTGGTACGGCCTCTAGGTTAACAAAGGAAACCATGCCAGCCTCCTCTACAAAAGTGCCTGATAAACACTAAGAAAACACGATTGGTACTGAGCCTGAATTATACAAAGTGAATGTAACTTTAGAAGAATTGGGGGGGAGGGGAAATCTTTGGTTCTCAAACATTAACCTTTTTTTCCACAATACTTATTTTTGTTTTTAAACAATCAGAAAAGGGATAACAGCTCCCATGTGAACAAAACAAAGTCAAAGGCTGGCAATTCACTGATCCTCCCCTCACAGCAGCCGAGTAGAAAAAGAAAAACAGTTCATCAGTTGCAAAGCAGTAGCTTTTCTGATACACTTCATGACATTTGGAAAAAGTGTTGAACTAAATTACCAGCTTAAAAACTAAGTGTTCATGTCCCAGCTACAGAGAAGGCTTGATGTGTTTAAAATGAACACCCTGATGCTCACACCCAGGAGGAGCAAATAAAATAATTTTGGTTCCTGAGGAGGAGGGGACAACCAGCTCTACAGTTTTGCATCCCCCTGACAGTCATCGCAATTGTTTCTCATTTGTGGCAGTTGAACCTAGATTCATACCTATGTAAAGAGCTATTTAATCATATTTGACCTCTTATAATGATATAGCAATAGGGAACAATCTGCACCAGGTTATATATACTTCCAAAAGCAGTAGGTTTTGTTTTATTGAATAAGGTGGAAGACACTTTGTCTTTCTACTCTACTTGCCATGCATTACTGTGAAGCTTTTGTGCAAAAAAAAAAAAAAAAGTGGATGAAGGGGGAGGCAGAAAAATTGAACTCTTTTAGAAGAAATGTATAAAAACTTCTACCTCAGTTTTGTCCTTGGGTATTTTTCTTTGAGGAACAATTATCGCCAGGGGAAATGGAGCACTATTACCCTCCAAATCTATCATCACTGTGGTAATGCCCTGATAGTACAGCACTTCATTAACACAGAAATTCTTCAGGTATCCCACTAAGTAGTTGCTGCTATAATCCATGCTTTGGATTCATATGAATAATCAGATGTCAAAAAGAAATGGGCCCACTCACAGAACTTAGCTGCTATTTATGAGCATATTGAAAGTATAAATGGAGTTCTATCAGAATAGAACTATGGAAAACTCTGTTTTATAAAGATTAATAAAATTCATTCTATGTTGTTGTGCTCTGAGGCAGTTCTGATACCTAAACACACTCATGATACATAACATGAGGATGACAGTAGTGGCAGAAGAAGAGAGAAAAACATCCAGTTCTTTTCTCTCTGCTTCATCTCTAGCTCTAAGGCCTATAGGTCTTCTGCAACAGCTTATGCAAGGTTGACAGACATGCTCGGAAACCTCCTCAGCCGATTGGCAGCAGCTACCACGTAGAAATGTTTCTGTGAACCAAACAGAAAAACTTAAAAGTGAGTATAATTGAGCACAAGCATACTTTGTGATTAATAAGGTACTCTGAACAGTAAATGCTGATTTTTTTTCTAGCTCCCAGACCTCTGCACTGAATATTATACAACACAGCCTTGTGTTTTGTCACTCCAGTACTTTCCACAAAATAAAGACAGGCTAATACAACTATGCCAACTGAAAACTAGTGGAGTTGAAAGTTCATGACGTTTTGGGGATACATTTGTAGCCGTAGTGAAATTGGGGAACTAATCAGCACCGGTTCTCACAATTTCTGTCACACCTGTCAGCCTTGGGGAAACCAGTTAGGTCTAAGTATACCTCCATTCTTCTGCAGCTCCTAATTAAGTCAAGGTTGTATTTATAATAACATAGTCCCCTTCCTCACAGGGGTGTCCTGTAAATAAACACTCATAGGAACAGCCATAATGAATCAAATAAGTTAATCTCTTGGGATATGTCTATACTAGCTCGTTAATTCGAGCTAGGTAGGTAAATCAGGCAATCGGAGTTGCAAATGAAGCCCAGGATTTAAATATCCCGGGCTTTATTTGCATGTTCCCGTTCGGCATTTTTAAATCCCCCTTAGTTTGAACAAACTGCCCGCGGCTACACGCAGCAGTTTAAAGTTAATCTGAACTAAGTCCTTAATTCAGATTAACTGTTACACCTCATTCCTTAACGAGCTAGTGTAGACATACCCTTGTTTCTGGATAATAGCTCATTTATTACCAGCTCACATGCAACAGACATTAATTACAGAACTTTAGGACCCCAAAGTGTCCACATGGTCAAAGGAAAAGCAGCTATCTATGATTAGTGTCGTGTTAACAATGCTGGAGGAGTGCTATTTCAATCTTCTCCATAGAGAATACTCTGTAGCTGTAAAACCGTGTTTATATAATGAATAAAAGGCTGTGTAGCTCTCTTAGCAAATGTATAATAGACTAGCTTGAGATAAAGACATTTTTTAAATGCAACAAATACCAGTAATTGTGGAGCCTGGCCAAATAAAGGGTCTAACTCATTAGCAAATTTTTGTTACTCTCAGGTGTGTCTAGGCCTGACAGGGTTTTGTCAACAAAAGTTGCCATTTGTCGACAAAACTATACCTGCGTCTACACTACCACTGCATTCTGTCGACAGTAAGTCGACAGAACGCGGCAGTTTTGTTGACTGCGGTAAACCTCGTTTTACAAGGAATAACGCCTTTTTTTGAAAGTACTCTTTCGAAAAAAGGCGCTATTGCATGCAAACTGCCTTTTCCACAGAACTAGTTGTAGTCTAGATGCTCTTTTTCAACAGAAGCTTTATCAACAGTATGTGTTGACAATGCCTCTGTCGAAAAAGGCGTGAAGTCTAGACATAGCCTCACTTGTGAGTAAAAACTGGCTTGGATTTCATCTTCTTCCTATAGATTAAATGTTCTGGAGTTGTGTCCCTCCTTTGCAGAATATGATTATTGATCACCTTTTATAGAAATTCCTCCATATTTACTAAAAATGGTTCCAGAATTAGCATGAGCTTAATTGTGGTCCTGAAAGTATGTCATTTTCCATCTGGCTGGATGGTGATACAAGAAGGTCAAGTAACTTCCCCCAAGGTTGTACAGTGGAAGAGCGACCCAAAATGAATTTGAACCTAGATTTTTCTTAGTCCTAGACTTTTGTATTGAATACTACACTAAATAGCCTTCTGTTATGTCATTCTAATACTTCATATACATTGAAGGCAGGCTAATGCAACTATGTCAATTGAAAAGTAATTGCTTTTGCTTAAAAGGTTACATGTTTAATATCAAATAGTGTCTGAAGTTTCTAAATCTCTGAAATTTTACGTGTTCTTTTTTTGAAAGAACAATCGGAAATGAGAATAAAAATTTAGGATCCCAGTACGTAAACTCAGAGATGCCATGACTTAAAAGGGGAAGTGAACACTCAAATCTATAACTGCCAAAATAATTCCCACTTTCAAATTGAAGGAAAGATCTCCACATTTAGAAGAGACCATGACAAAGAAGGATTAAGGGCTCTGCCTCATTAAATTCAGGGGTGGGCAAGAGAGCTTCTATGGGCCGAATCTGGCCCGCAAAATGGGTTGATCTGCCTCACTGCCACTCCCCCACCCCCAGGCCAATCAAGACCTGGGAATAAGGGAGTACAGCTGGTGGTTCACTCTAGGTGCTGCACATCCCTTACAGAGTGGAGGCAAGGGGCAAGAGACTTCGCACACTCTCCCACTCCCAGGCCTGATTGGCCTGGGGGTAGGAGGGGAGCACACAAAATCTCCCCCTGCCCTTCAAGGGGCACACGACATTTAGAGTGAATCTCCAGCTGTTCAGAACAGCTGGCGGTTATCTCTAGGCTCTGGGGGGTGGGGAACAAAGACTTTACGTGCTCCCTCTGTCTCCAGGCCAATTGGTCTGTGGGCAGGGGAACACGGAAGTATCCTGGCCCTGCTCCTTCTGCCTGAGATCCTAAACTTTCTGCTGTGGCCTGGGGCCACTTCAAAAATCTGTGAAGTGGCTCCCCTTCTAAAATTATTGCACACCCCGATAAACTAGTACAATCACTCTTCTTTGGAAATAAAGGTGACAGACTTTGTGTATTTACCTTCCATTTTCTATGAGCCACGTAATGCTGTAGCAGCAACTGTGACTTCAGTCGAAGCTTGGATTTCTTGGCTTTGCCTGGTAGATCATTTAACCACTCGTGTTTCAGACACTGGGCTGCGCTCATCCTGCAACTGGAAAATAAAATTTGTAAAGTGCTATGATGTAACTGTTGCTGCCGATATTATGATTTACACGGAATCCCCTAGTCTGCTTGCAATGGAACACTTTGGCTGCTCTTCATTCATATCACAAGTGAAAGGCTGTTTTTTCTAAATGAAAATAAAAAATAAACATACAAAAAAGATGGAGGAAGGCCCTTTAAAGCTGCCAATAAGCTCAGTGCAGAGAAGCTGTATGAAAAGCAATTCTCACTTCTTCTCTCCAGAAGGGACTAAATGGTGCTTGAGAGGAGTGTCAGGTTCTTCTGTGTTTGGGTTTATACCTGAGTATTGGGTAGCCTTGTTGCTCTATTATTTGGAAGTCATTTTGGAATGTGAACGGTAGAATACAAGACATTTTTGTAGGTCTGTGCCAACATCATCAAAGAACACAGATACTAACTTGTGGTGGTTTTAGTCCATCTCCCCTGACAATGCAAGAACCTTCCTTACTGTTTATTTAAGGAGTCACACCAATGCCTACAGAAATCAATTAACACTAATGAGAACATCTAAGCATGAACAAAAGGTATGGCTTTCAAGTCATCCTCCTTGAAACTGACTGGAAATGTATAGGTTCTGTTTCAGATTCAATTAGCTGCACATAGCTTGCCTTTGGGATCAGTACTTTGGAGATGTGACAACCAAAAGGCTGATTTTTAACTGAAACATAATTTAATTGCAATATAATAGCTACAGTATGTAGACAATCAATAAGAGGCTCAATAGATCACTTCCACGGGCCTCTGAAAACACATAGAGTGCAAGAAAATCCTGGGTTTTGTCTTTTTGTGGGTCATTTGTGCTTTTTTTTCTCCCCCAAAATTTGGACTTGCATGTGAATAAACAGAGCTAAGTCCTGCCTTTGGCTCAGTTGCCACTCAAGGAAAAAGATGTTAACAAAACTGATGGGGTGCGTCTAGACTGGCAAGATTTTGCGCAAAAGCAAATGCTTTTGCGCAAAAACTTGCCAGCTGTCTACACTGGCCGCTTGAATTTGCGCAAGAGCACCGACTTTGTAATGTACAAAATCAGTGCTTCTTGCGCAAATACTTTCACGCTCCCGCTCGGGAAAAAGCCCTCTTGCGCAAGAATACTTGAGCAAGAGGGCCAGTGTAGACAGAGAAGAACTGTTTTGTGCAAAAAAGCCCCGATGGCTAAAATGGCGATCGGGGCTTTCTTGCACAAAATCATGTCTAGACTGGCCATGGATGATTTTGCGCAAAAGCACTTTTTGCACAAAAGCATCCGTGTCAATCTAGACACGCTTTTGTGGAAATAATTTTAACGGAAAAACTTTTCCGTTAAAAGTATTTCCGCAAAATCACGCCAGTCTAGACGCAGCCATGTTTAGCAGCCTTGCACAAAATGAGAGCAGCCAGCCAGAAACCCTCCTAGTGAACAAAAATGTGTTAAGAGTTAGGACAAGCCGTTGCACCAGGACATCCCCAGCTGTCTCTAGAGGGCAGGGTTTGCTGTAGATAGACTATGTCTCCTCTTTCTTCAAGAAAGTGAGAGACTTACAGCCTGCCACTGTGGCTAGTGAGCAGCTGGCAGATCCAACAAGTATCTGATTCCCTCTGCTCTCTGACTCCCACCTCCCTTCCTTTTCCTTCCCTCCCCTTCCCCTCTCTTATTTATTTTGGGCATGCACATCCTAAACTCATAACTCTGGTCATCTGAAGAAGCGGGCTGTGCCCACTAAAGCTCATGATACCATCTACATGTTTTGTTAGTCTATAAAGTGCTACCAGATCATTTATTGTTTTTTTTTCTGTAACAGACTAATTCGGCTACCCCCTGAAGTCTGGAAAAAGTTAGTGTTCTAAGGGCTCCTGTCAGCAATTTTCCCCTAGAACAGTATGAAACATTCCCATTACTGTTAGGAGATGTCACTGAACACATGTTCATCAAGGGAAGACTAAGCCCCTGTGTCTTTATTTGGCATCAGTATTTGACAAGCTGGGCCACATTCTGTCCTGCAAAACAATGGGTACAGCTCCCTTTGACTTCAATGAGAGCTGAGCATATGGCTACAAGAGTAGAATTAAGCGTCAAGTGATTATTTGTACCTGTCTAATATACAGATGGGCTGTGTCTACATTGGCACGATCTTGCGCCAAAGCGGCCACTTTTGCGCAAAAACATGCTGCCTGTCTACACTGGCAGGGAGTTCTTGCGCAAGAACACTGATGTTCTAATGTGTGAAATCAGTGCTTCTTGCGCAAGAACTATGATGCTCCAGCTCAGAAATAAGCCCTCTTGCGCAACTGTTCTTGCGCAAGAGGCCAGTGTAGACAGGCAACATGAATTTCTTGCACAAGAAAGCCCGATGACTAAAATGGCCATGGGAGCTTTCTTGCGCAGGAGAGCATCTACACTGGCACAGATGCTCTTGCGCAAAAGCACATCTCTTGTGCAAAGGCACATGCCAGTGTAGATGCTCTCTTACGCAAATACTTAACGCAAGAACTCTTGCGTTAAAGAATATTTGCGCAAGATCATGCCAATGTAGACGTAGCCATGGCATTTGGATTGGGAATTATGTAGCATTCTAAACTGCAACTGCTACTTATCACTCTTTGTATTTTCAGAGATACGTTTGCAGTTTGCATTAATGCTTATAAAAAAGCCAAAGTGAAGACAGAACTAGCTCCTGGACATATGTGAAAGGTTCTTCTTAAAATAATATAAATGATTCCACATTTCCTGCACTTCACTTTCCCTGCAACAGACCCAGTCACTTGGAGATATTTTATCGTGTTTAAAATACACTGACATTTTTATTTTTAAAATGAGGTTTGTGTCACTGCTGAACTGCCTGGTACACACAACATGGCAGAAGAAAAGTCATAGTACTAACTTCCGTCATGGGCTACCATACATACATTTAGCCAGGAAGGATTTATTCTAAGTGGTAGGACTGCAGTGGCAAACATGAAAAAAATACCTCTTCTCCTTCACAAGCAGTTTGGAAATGAAGTCTTTTGCCTCTTCTGAGAGTTGTTCAAATGCTTCTGCATCAAAATCCCAGCTGCAGTTCACTATGTAATTCATTGTCTCTGCATCTGTTTCTCCTAGGAATGGCGATAAGCCACTGAGCCTTTAAGAGAGAGAGAAAGAGAGAGGTGGGCAGCTAATAATAGGAAATGTATTTTTCCTATGTATCCTCACTGTGCTCCCCACTGCTTCAGAATTAGGGTTACCAGATTGTTTCAAAAAAATACCAGACACACTTGATCTCAGATCGGGGGGGAGGGGGAGGAAAAAAGGGTCAGGAGGGGAGCGGGGCTGGCTGGGGGGGGGTGGG